TCAGCAATCTGTGCAGCTTGTCCCAGAAATAAGGAGCTGTAAGCTGCAGGCCACATTAAGAATTGCTGTAGGCCCTCTCACAGCAGCCCTTCTCCTGCATAATTACCAGGAAGACAGTAAGGATCTCAAGTAGACAGCACTAGGACACAGGATCTCTGTCCAGCTCTCATGAAACTGTGCTCATGAGCTTGTGCAACAACACCAGTATGGCAAAACCTACCTACCAAAAAAGGTAGGAAATAGTGTCAAATTAGTCAATATAACTTTACTATATTGAATCCTGTTAGCAATTTTAATCACAAGTCAAAGGTGTTTTAAGAGATGTCTCAGTTTAAAAGGCAGCAGATAGTTCTCTGCATCAGCCTCTACAAATGGTTGAGTTCACCAAAGAAAAAAAGATTCACCTTATTTTCAACAGTGGCTCAACTCTTAGAATATGGTGAAATAAAATATTCAAAAATTCTTCTGGATCTGCAAGGGGGGAGAGGAAAAAAAAAGTTTTGTTAGCATGCAAAACCAGCTGCATTATTCAAGACTCGTTTATAATGAAGGTTTTCAAAATTTTCATAGGAAAAAACCAGTTAAAAAAAAACCCGTTAATTTTTATAGCTTTATTAACACAGTAAGATTATGATAAACTATGAACGTTTTCATGGAAAGCTTCTATTTATTCTTTTGGTGTCGAAAGGCCCTAATAAAAGGTACAGGCTCAACAGGGCAACAAAGCTTCCCAGTAAAGACCAAAAAGATGCTCTCTCTTTCAGAGGAATCATTTGGCACCACACAACATTTCCAGGAGAAATGAAAGCTTTCAAAAGAAAACAGTGAATCTGCAGAGGAGCAGTGAGGAGTAGTGACAGTAACACATAAAAACCACTCCATACTACAGAATTCATCTTAACTAGAGACTGAGTTCTCATCAAGAATGCAGCCAACAGCAGCTTCCCAGAGGGCCATTCTCCCCAGCACAGTTTGCTGGTGTATTAACTACAATAAATACTGGTTTCCAGTGATCAGTATTTACAAAGGAAGTAGCAGAAACAGCTACATAATATAATGCAAATTATTCATTATATGCAGTAGAAGATCAAAAAGTTGGGAACTGATATTTTTCTAATATGATTTACACATTTTATTTTTTAAAATGTGTAATAACCATTGTAACAATGAAATGTTGGTGGTGAAAAAGTTTATTCCTCAGGGACCAAAGGGACATTTTGAAAGAGGACAAAGACCCCAGCCTTATCACACTGTTCTCCCCTAAGTGCTAGAAGGGAGTTACAGGGCCACAGGAAGGCAATAAAAGAAATCCAAGCAGTGAAAGACTTTTACAGAAATTGTTCAGCTAGGGTTCCTTACATTCCCAAGGAAGAAGAAAAGACCTTTCTGCCAGCCAATGGTCACTCGAATTTCTGGTAGAGACCCTACTACTACAAGAAACTATTTGGGTGTTTTGTTCTGGTATAATTACATAGCAAGGTATCTCAGTTCTTTAATATTATGATTCTTATAAGTCTCAAAGAAAGGAAAACCTCCCCAGTTACCTTTTTCCTCTGAAGTGAATCCTGAGGCAGCCTCAACTTTTTCAAGTATTTTCCTCAGTTTCATTATTTTTGTAGCACATACGTATCCGTATCTAAGATAAATGGGTTTAATAAGCTATTAGCTAGTTTGTGATCAAATCAGAGAAGCACAAAAAACCCAACTCTCTTAAATGCTGAAATACAGGTTCTCAAATCCTTCTTTAACTGCATCCAGTATTTCTTCAAAACCAAGTGCTGACTTCTCATATTCAATATGACTTCCAGATTTCTTAATGCAGGATAAATTTAGTGCAGTGCTCAATGGTTTTTTATAGCCTTTAAGAGCATTTTTAATCATCAACTTATTAGAATAACTGTTTTCTGATTTGTCAGTCAATTACTTTTGATTTGTTTTCACTCTAATTTGCATCACTTAATATATCATTTTCAGAATGTCACATAATAACAGCACTGTGGGAGTTGTTAATAAAAACAAAATTCAATATTTGAGAAAAAGATACAGAGCTGTATTGCTGACCTAAGAAGCTGAGGTTTTGAGCATTCAGTCTTTTCCTCTAAAGTTTTAAGCATGGTAGAAAGGTAATAAGACCTTTCAGTCATCTCAGCCACCTGAGATTTCTGCTACTCAGTGTGTATCCTGCTATCCTACCTATAGCAGAGAACCCTGGAACACACCAGGAAAAGTACACACACCCTTACAAGAACAAGGGTTCAGAGGCCAACATTTTATTCCAGGAATCAAAATAAAAACTTTGTGATAAATTTTTCAGTGACAGCCCACAGAATTTCAGAACTACAACTGTATTATTCTCATGTTCAAAAGAAATTAAGCTCAAGAAAAGTAACTTTTCATGCAGATTTTTGTTGTGTGTCCTTTGCTCATTGTGCCTAAGAAATTACAGAGCTCATATGTAGTTCCTTTAAAAAAAAGTGTTTTGACCACTTGCAGACCACATGTAAACGGTAACAAAATTTTAATGCCCTGCCAAATCCAATAAATTGTGAAACACCATGTAAGATAACTCACATACTTTTCTTGTCAAGTACAACACCATTAAAAACATGTAAATAAGAATGTTGTGAAGAACTTAACTTGTATTTATCAGTGCTTTTTAATTTATACCTGTATAAATTTTACAATAGCTTTATGCTGATCCTATTTCCAAATCGAGACTAGTGAAAATATTTTATCACCAAACAATGAATAGCTATTTCCAGTTAGCACTGATTAAATTTACCATGAAGAGCAAGTAAAAATACTAAAAAAATAAATTGAATAGAGTGGTAGCAGCAGGCAGCCAAACTTCTCAGATTTGCAAGAGGAATGCATACACAGCAGGATCTCTCTAATTTATATCAGAGACCAGTTCATGTCTTTACTTACATTCTCAGAGGATTCACAATTTCTGTCCGCAACAGCTCTTGAGTCTCACTATAATACTCTACATCATTCATTTCTTTAGGTCTGAGCAACACAGTGTCCAAAACAGAGCTAAAAGAAAACAGGCTACAAAGGAAAAAGGAAAAGGAAGGTTGTTTTGACCCTGGAAGATATGACCATTCAGATGTCTGAGCAATGTAAGAGAAAGCGAGCAAAGCCACAGAAAAATTAAAGAACTAAACAAACTCCAAAAGCAGTAATTATGGACAGGGGACAACACAGCTGTGCTAAATAGCAAAAGCCCACTCTAACCCAGTGTGCTTTCTGCAGCAAAGTACAGAACAATTGCCCAGGCAGGACTGTGCAAATAAGCCATAAGGGGTATTTCCCTCCCTCCTTCCACCCGCAGCCTGGGTTGTCTTTCATCCTTCAACCATTTACAGGCCAGGGACTCCCTCAGCCAAACAGAGCAGCTACAGAAGGGCCAGAGCAGCTGGGACATCATTAGCACTTTGTTACCCAGTGAATGCTGCAGAACCTGCTCCCACTGGAAGAGCACAGTAACATGTCAGGCTGGAGCCATGACACGGGAGCTGCACAGTAACACACACAGACAGTCATCCATGTTCTGCATGTCTAGCATGGGATGCTACTACACAAATTATGAACTTACCAGAATAAGGTGGAGTCTAAGTAACAGGAGTTGTAATGACCCTGGATACCTTTCTTCTTTCCAATCATTGTCTCTAAACCTTCTTTTTCCATTTTTGGAGGAGTGTTTTCTTCTACCACTTCACTTAAGTAACCTCCAAAGGCTGAAATTTTTTTTTTCAAAAGACACTTTAAAGCCTCAAATTTTACTCCCCTTGAGATTTCCCTATTAATGTTTTATAGCTAAGTTGCTGCCTTAGTGTAAGCATTCCTTCTCTGGACTAGAATAGCATTTTATTATAGCTGAAACTCAGTGTTCCAGAGAGCGAACGAGGCCTTACATTCCACTGGCAATGCACATTAGAGTGCTTCAGAAAGCCTGCGAGCACTGAATTAATTTTATCCAGTAGGAATGAAGTTCTCTTTTCATTACAAATGCCCTGTTCACACTATCTTACAAGTATCAGACACTTTTCTTTGCTGGGTCCCCAGCATGACCCAAGAAATCTAAAATACTTGAAGTTAGCAAAAAAAAAAAAAAAGTTTTTCACCACTAAATTCTACCATAAACATACATGCTTTTTTATGTTAATATTTAGAAAATAAATTAATTTGCTGCTATATAGAAAAATAGCTGCCTTTATTTCTAACAATGCAATCACACATTGCTGGAGTTGCAAATACCATTTTCAGCAAGACTGCTTTACAACTTCTAAAGTAAAAAACATACAGCATAAAAATCCCTTTTATGAAATGTCTTTAAATATATGAAAATTTTCTTGTTTTAAAGCATAGAAGAGTAATCCACAGAACCACTGTATTCTGTACAGGCTGATCTTCTATTCATTCATCTCATTTAAGTAACACCTGTACAGATTCTCAAGTGTTCAATACAAAGAACTTACTGCAGGAATAAATGAAACCAAACCCCTGGTCATTCCCAGCTGATAAATAAGAAAGAAACAGAAGGTCAGTACCTAGAGAGTTGCAGCGTTCAATCTGGTTGGAAACAGGCTGCAGTGAGGCAAACCTGGAATCTGGCCTGCAGCTTTTGAGTTTAACAAAAAGAGCTTTCTTCGGAGCACAAGTGAAGTATCGAGTTCCTTTAAATGTTCCGTCCGTGCAGCCTGCACATTCATCTTCCTGGAAATTCAAGTGAGAATTCACTATTGTTCTTATTTCTAGAATTCTGCAGTAAGACATTTGATAGAGTATCTACCCACAAGTCACCCCTCAGGTACTCTGAATCGTGATATGCAGTGTTTCTGCATTTTAGTATACAAAGCTTTGACTGAGGTATTGTTTAACTGGATTTACTGAGGAAAGTAAGAGTTGCAGGTTTTTTTCTTCATGCTTAAAATTTCATCAGAAGCAGCTTGGGGAAGTGGGAGGGGAGAACCAGTCCAGATTCCTTCTGTAGTTAGGAAGAGCACACATGCAGTACCGAGCACCTTTTACAACTCAGTTAAAATCATTAAGCATTGGGTAGTGTGAATACTTTCAGCGTGACTGTGCTGCACAAGAAAAATGCCTGCTTTGGAACACACAAAATGTACATCAAGGACAAACAACACAAACCAGGTATGAACAATAACAAGTTATTATCTTTGAGAATATGATTTAAGGTATACTGTCTACAGCTAGGCTTTAATGCAGAAATGCACGAGTGACACACAAGTTAACACACAACACCCTAAGGTGCAGCCTCAGAACACCTGTGGCAAACTGTGGCTTCCAACTTCATCCAAAACACCCACAAGGATAAGGATTTTTTGTAACAGCTGGAATTCCAGTCACATTCTGATCTACTTTGTTTGTGTTTTACATAATTGTACAGTGTTATGTATTATGTATAATGTTCAATTTTATTGATTATTATCCCAAAATAAAGAACCCCATTTTCTTAATTGAATACACATTAATTTAACTGACAGCCAAGCGCAACCCTGGCAGCAGCTGCCACAGAAGAAATGTCAGTGCAGAACAGCAATTCACGTTTGCAGCAACTATGCTTTTCCAAAGGGCCCAGAGAAACACATAAAGCACGTGGCTGTCACATCAACCAGTTATCAAACCAGTTATCAAAATTAATGTTATGGCTCTGACAGTCATAACTCTGCCTGTTTGCTGGTATGCAAAAAACAAACATCAAAGTGATACTCAGTAAAGGCTCCTACAGTCAGGGCATTTTATATAAATCTGCATTTCAAAAGACCTTTAAATATGGTCAGCTTTTTTCAATTACAATCTCCATAATGTAAGCAAAGGACACTCCTTTAACGCAAGGAAGTGATCAGTCCCACAAATTCAATTACCCCTTGTAACACGAAGACATCTCAGAGCCTCTTAACAGGGTAAGGTCTAGGACAGCCACAAAAGTCAGAGCTCATCGAAGAATTTAGCTCTAAGGACATCACATGGCAACCTGTTTTGGGCAAATCCCCCCAGATTGGCTGCGTTTGCAACGTATACAGGGACCAGCTCTGAGAAACAAAACTAGTAATTAACACTAATATGAACTACAATTTATATTTACCAGTTCCAGTCCAGCCAACACTTCATTTACTCCAGGGGGCTGGCCAATCCAACGGATGACTCCATAGAAAGGAGGATTTTCTTTAACTTCAGCCAAGGAACCTGCTTCAAGACCATGTGAGTTCCCAATTGGGCTTGCTGTTGATGGACTGTCCTGGTTAGCTGCAGTATTCACATCACCCATGACCGACTGAACAGACAAAGAGAGAGGACTGTGTCCCATAGTACCATTTGTACTTGTTGCTTTTGTCAAGCTAAAAGGGAGGGAGTGAAATCTGTTTTCTGTAGACACAGAGTTTGTTAAAGGTGGCTGCAGTGGAGGTGAAGAATGCCCAAATCCAGAAGATGAATCAGTAAGTGATTTTGCAGGGTCTTCAGTAGCTGTTAAAATCAAAACCAAGATGTTAGTAAGTGTTGGGGTTTTTTCCCCCCGTCTTAAAAAAGGAAAGACTTGGCTCTGAAACCAATGAAGTGCATTTGCAACCACATCTGATTTAACGTGTGACTGTACAGAAAGCACTAAGAGCTGGGGAGGGACATTTAGGAAGACATTTGGCACTTGGCAACACTGGAGAGACAGAACTAACTGAGGAGACACTGTTGCAGCCCCATCACTTTTACCACAAACAACAAAAACAAACAGCACAGAGAAAGATGATGTTAGACAGAAACTACAGGAAGGTTTAGATTGAAAACTTTTTTTCATCCTGAGACTTTTTCTTTGAACATGAGCTAATGGTCACAAGGATTGTAACAGGCAAAACTAGGAAGAATTCATTGGCCATTGTGACTGAGGAAAGGACTTGGTTCACAGCTTACAGAGACACGAGTAATTGCTTGCAGACATGATTTGCAAAGGGAAAAGTGTTTATTCCCCTGACTCTTATCACCATATACTTTAGTTCTAACACAAGGAACCTATCAGCATCTGTATATGTCATGACTAATGTTGTGCCTGATAAAAGAGACCACAACTAGATATGATCACAACACTAGCACAGGTGTTCTGTATCTTCTCTCATCTCTCTACATAGAATCATAAAGTATCCTGAGTTGGAAAGATCTCTATTACACAACTGGTATTCACAGAACAAAAGCCTCTTCTTCATCAGCTGCTCTCCTCACACTGTTTTATTAACTGAAGTTAATGTCTAAAAAAAAAGTTAAAAAAATATGACAGCTGTTACACAACCAAGAACAATTTTAACCCATTTTCTTTTACAGTTCATGGAATTCGGGGGCTACTGCTGCAATAGTTTCCATTGTAAATTAACATTATTAGTTTAGTTTTTACCCCTTCAGTCACTATGCCAGCCAGCTATACTTTTATAAAGTTTATCAGCCAAAAAAAAAAAAAAAGTCTGGAAGCAAATCAAGATATACTGATCCTTTAGGCATGTGCACTCATACTTCTAAAAACTCAGAGAGGTTTTACAGAAATAACTTTTAAAAAATACTGAAAAAACATGTATACTTAGTCAGATTATTTCTCCCCTCCCCACTTCCAGACTGATTAGCTGGCATGGCAGAATAGTTCCCTTAGATCTGTAACATTAGCTACAAAGACAGGCAAAATACAATTACTCTGTATACTTGGCTATAAGGAATATCTTCATGTCCTCCATCAAGCCTCAGCTTTTATTTTGCCTGCAAGACATATGCATTCCCACAGAGCTGCACATACATTGCCAAGAATGTAATCTCCTACATGCAGAATAAAACCACGGGTCACATTAAGACAGAGAACACTTTCATAGGGGTTTCAAGATGCTCTTTATGATATAGTATGTCTTCCACTAAGACAATATACTCCAACTGTTTTACATTTAATCTCATATTTGTTTTATTTGAAGAACATAATACACTCTAGTTTTGTTCTGTGGGTTTTTTTAAATAAAGTATATGCCTACATGAAGGAATTTCTCTTTACCTTCATCAATATACCATGGGGGTTTTGTTTTTGTTTGAGGTTGAGAGTCAACGGATGAGCCATTTAATGTGTAGAAGACTTCAGATCTGCTTCTATTTCCAGGTTCAGAGGTAGATCCTGGAAAACAACATACTTTAATGAAGAGGTTAATCTCTACTTAGAAAAGGTTACCTACACTCTTATTTCATAGTATAAATTTGTTATACTTTCAAAAAGACCCAACTGCTTTTACACAAAGCAGCAAACTCTCCCATCAAGGCTAACACAGTTCTAAGCTTACAAATCTACACCAAACCAACAAAATCCTCCAAGCTGAAATTTCAAGTCCCCAACTTGAAAAGAAGGCAGAAAATACTTCTCAAGTGCAAATTTTTCATGACTATAAATTATGGATATAAGAAAATATTTGTGATACAGTGTACAGCAGGTATTTTTTTGTTTTTAAAGCACTAAAGTTTCACAGTAGGCAAATAGATTACTGATGCAATGCCACACAGCTATAACTCGTGCCAACATATAACCACAGTTACTTTAGTGAAGATCATCTCTGTCAGCATCCAATGCCAGAAAAGACAATACTTTTCCCCAAGCAGTAAAAACTTGTAATTCTTACATAAGTACAGAAAATCACTTCCCACACATACCTGTAGCCTTTGGCTTACTGTGATTGAACACGCTTTTGTCACCTCTTGAGGTATAGGCAAGCTTGGGAGGTCTCCTGTCCTGTGACACAGTCTCTAAGACATGGTGTATGAAGAGAGTATTAGCTTCCCTTTTCTGTGTTCTTACTGTGTTACAGAGAAGTTCAACTCCAAAGGTAACCAAACAAAGGGCTGTCATCGTAAGCTTTAAAACTGAGCGGAGTAAAACCTTGCTTGGCACATAACCAACATTTTACGTGTACAGGATTTGCTTCTATCACATCAGCAATTACTTTGCTCTGAAGTCTGCTATTACTTCATGAACACTTCAATGTATGTGCATATTTCCATTACAGGAAACAGACGCATGAAATTCTAAACTTTATTTTCTACCAACACACTTAAACCAAATGCTCTTCTCCCAAAAATGGAGTCTGTATGAATTCTCCAGAGAAGAGAGGAAAATTTATGCAAAATCACGCATCTCAACTAAACTAGCGAGTAGGAGATGAACATAAATCAGTCAAACTGAAGAGCAAGGGCAACAGTTACAGACCAAACACTCATTAGCACCTGTCTACAGACAGAGCCCAAGCAAAAGTTACTTATAAAAACTTTGCTTTCTTCAGAAAAGGGATCAGGGGACTGTACTTGTTACAAGTTAACACTATTCTGTGAACTACTGCTGTGAATTTTTCCACAGTCTTGCTATGCATTTTCAAATATTTACCCACAGACTGCATACATAATACTATCAATACCTTTCCAGCACAGAAAGACTAGCTTTCTGATCCAAGATATTTAAACTCCTGGAGTAAATTTAACAACAGTCCATACAAAAGATTCCCAATACAGACACTCACATATTCACTAATATTACACAACTCCACAGTATTGTAAATACTATTTGACAGGAATTTTGTTCAATATTAAAGCTTTTCTACTAGTGAGACTATAATGCAAAGGAGGGGAGAACTGAAGAGAATTATAACACAGAAGGTTAAACTAATTCAAGTGAATTAAGGATATTAACTTTGCAGTATTGTTTTAATCATATAACTGTGCCTAGGTGGAGATGTTATCAAAGTCTGCCTTCTGGTTAAGAAAGCTGGGCATACCTGGAATAACGTCATTGATATGCAAAAGAAGTGTACTTTCAACACTTGCAAAACTGCACAGCTGTATTCCATTATATCTTCCATCCCAGTTTCCAATCGGATTATCCTAAAAATAGAAAAACATGTTACATGTATCCCAAGAGAAGATTTACATCATGCATATGTCTTTAGGAATATAAAAAGTAGGAAAATGAAAGGTTTGACAACGTCTAC